AAAAAGTTTAAATCAGCCAATTTTATATAATAGAACGTATTACAGGCGTTGTTTTTATTTATTAAAATAATAAATGTAAATTATGCTCTCCGCGAATAGTAATCGACATAAATGAACATTAATGAAAAATATATCTATATTATGTATTATGATATTATGTATAATAAAAATATAAAATACAATAATGTTATAACGTAGGGTGACATAATGTGATGATCTTTTAAAATCTAAACATGTTAAGTAAAAATGGAAAAAAAAACCGTTGAAAATGCCCGAAAAAAGTTATAACATTCTTGTTATCTTAGATACTTGCAATCTGCATAATATTACTAGGTAACCATTCTGTCTACTGATTAATAGATTTAAAATTCTCTAATCTTTATGCTACAGTACCTATAGTTTACTTAAAGTAGAAATAATATTATAACCACAAAATTAGTGTTTTGTCGATTACACGTAAATTGCAAGTTTAAAAATATAAAGAAAATTAAAATAATATTTTCACGGAGATGTTTCATTTTTCATCGAAAAGATGTATAATCGTATGCGTGTACGTATAAGTAATATCCATCCAAGTGATAATATAGAAAGACGAATACGGAAAGAGAATATTGATTCCCGTCAACTTTTAAATGTATATGTAACTTTTAGGAGCGTACAAACAAGACTTCTCAAAAGTAACTATTTTATAGATTGACTCGATGGACACATCAGAATATGGTTTAATCCGAAACCAGTATACTTATTAGTTTACAAGTACGGTTAATAAATTTGTATTATAATGTATTTGTGTTAACACTAAAACATAATAATTGCTAAACGTATTAAATTTTCCGGCAAATGAAAATGAAATCTTTTTAAGATTTTGAATACAAATTATTATAATATATTATATTTGTCCGGATAAGTATCGATAAGAATTTTTCTAAACTTTTTCGCTTTAAATTTAATTGAAACGTAATACATAATAAATTTTAACAATTATTCTGAAATTTCGACGGTTTCCCGTCAATATCGTGACTTTATCATCTCGAAAAATGTCTTTAAACTATCATAAGCATAACGTTTTGATTACTGTTCTACATAACTATATTAATTTCCTCGAACTATAAATTTTTACGCAGAAATGTAGCATACAAATAAAACATATTAAATAAAACTTAAAACGATCATAAACCGACTACATTGTGTTCATCTTTTTCTTGACCACCGAGTATAACTTATAACGAACTCCGAATCAAATTTTCAAGCATTTTTGTTCGGGGAATAATAAATCGCCCGCCAGAAAAAGGCGTTAGCACGATGAGCACATACACGCCCAGATAGTCTGGAAGAGCGACGAACAATGTCAAAGTCCACGCCATCCACGCCAGTACAAAACAAATACTTCAAGCGACGAGATAAAACTTTTCCCGCAGCACATAATCTTTGTACACGATCGAACATTCAGTCAAAATTGATATCGTACTTGAAGCTGCTGTGATATGGAAAATATAGCCGACCAACTGTATCTAGTGCAGAAATATACCTATGGTGTTTATGAGAGAATAAAAATACCATCCGACAAAGATGTTCTGTTTGTATTAGAATATTAGATCATTACATTTTAATACGTGCTGAGTTGCTGAATACTGATCAACATGATTTGAAAAATGTATTAACATTATTTTCGGAATTTGAAAATTTCAACAATAGTTCAAATTGATGGCACTTACAAACTGATTTGGCAAGGATACCTTGTAAAGGTTCTCGGAACCAGCGACTTTATCATTCAAGTAGTCGAAAGTATTATAATGCCGCGAATGTTTTTATTTGACGTGAAATACGTTTTTCATTCGTTCATAATTCTCTTTCATCTGACATAACCTTTCACTGCCGGGAATAGATTATTTAGACGTTGGAATGATTTTTTGGTTGTTACGAGTTTATATGTTCGTCATGCAAATGCCTTTTTCTGACCGGCGATTAAATCACACTCTTTTTGTTCATCCAAAACAACTAACAATTCAAAAATTCGAAAATGTAAAATGTCTATGAATAGATAAAAATCATCAGAATAATATGAATATTTTCATAAATATGTTTACCACCTCTAAAAAAGATCAATACAAAAGCTATAAAATATATTCTATATAAATTTTAGTTCCCTACGAAAAGTCATTTTTTGATTTTCTAAGCGATTTTCATAATAAATGAGAAAACAAGGAAAAAAAATATAAAAAACGGACAAATATTTACTGGTCGCATAAACGATTTCGTTATGTTAAATTTGTATAAATTTATTTTCTACTAAAAATATTACCTCAATCAAAATAACACAAAGGCACCTATTTTGTTGAATTTTGGATCTAGTTGGTAATTCAGTAAGTCATTTTTTGATTTTCCATGCTGTTTTCATAATAATTGGGGAAAACCCGAACAAACTTAGGAAATACGGGAAATTTTACGGCATAAATAGTTTCGTTATTTTGTTTTGTTTTTGTAAATCGGTTACAAAGCCTAATTTAGTTGTATTTCACAAGAGTTTTAAGATTACATTTTCATCCAAATCGTAAAATTTACGACATGTATAACTGAACTACGCTCAGAATCGTAATTCGTTAGCTATGAATTACTGTTACTTACAAATATCAATTAACACTTTTTTATGTTATATCTTGAAAAATAGGGATTTAGAAGTTAAAAATTGATCACAGCTACCTACTATACATATTTTTCCACATTTTTAGTTATTATATCTACTTTAAAAATTCCATATTCTAATAATTTAGATAAAATGAATTTAAAATAGAAATTCGTTTCATCATGTACCGTTGTACAGTTTCATTCGTGTCTTCCCTCGTCGCCGACTCCCATTTTACCGACAGAAAAATCGGTTATATTATCATTTTGAATTGAAATATTATTGTTGCAATAAATTATTATTACCAAAGAAATTCCAACGCCGCGATCGCGGCATGAGATAAAGTAAATATATAAATTTAGTATTATCGGAAATACAAAAGCTATTGACAATAACAATAGGTAATCAACGATCATATAAAAGTTCAAAAGAATTGTTCTTATTATTTTCATAATTTAAGTTTAACAGAGTGACAATTTAAAAAAACTAGACAGTGTAATCCCCGTAAAAACGACAACGAAAACAAGTTGTTTTAACGTGAACTATAGTGGAATGGATTCATGAGTAAGTGTACTTGAAGCAACGTACGTCACAAAATAAGTATTAACAAAAGAAAATCGCTTCACTGATGGATGTAATATTCGACGATTACAAGGAGGAATGGAAGAACTACACAGAGCCACAACAGACGTAGTGCAATGGCTAAATTCCCTGGACATACAAATTTAATAGAAGACCTGTGCAAATTACACACCCAGTGCTAGTCAATATATTACCTATATGGTCTATTATCATTTAGTTATCTTTTGTTTATTTATTTATCTATTTTATATTTATACCTACTTTATATTATGTTACTTATGTTAAACCATAAATGTTATATCTAAGCCATACGAATAATAATACAAAAGAAAATGCTGTCGGCAAAATGGGAGTCGGCTACGTGGGAATGAATCGTTTCACTTACTCGTCACAGCACCTCACATACGTTATTTCGCGTTTTATCTACTGGAGGCATAATATTGGAGCGCGGAATACGATCATACGTTTGTGTGTAAATAATAAATTAGTCTAATCGGGAACCATAGTCGAGTCTCAACAACAACCGGGTCTTAATAATATCGTCACGTATGTAATTCTAATATTGTTTCTAAATTATCAATTACCACACACCACTCGTATTCCGCTTCAGCTGGTATTGCCATAACTACCCTAGGAGATCAGGGTTACTCAGGTCAAGTTTATAATATTCTAATATTTATTAATAATTATATTTGGAATACATTTTACCGTTTTTAAATCGTGTTTAATTGTGTTAAGTGACGAACACAGGTCTTAAGTCTCTTTGATCTAACCTAACTTAGAGACCTTTATTTACACCAGTCCAACAACCCGGTCTAAAAGGCCGGTTAGGGTAGTAGTAATTTGCCCACCAACTGCTCCGACTAAGTGGCTTAGGTATAAATATCGACAGTCCCTTACGTTCCGTTTCTTAAACCAAGGAGGCGTGATGCAATCATTGACATAATATGTAATATAATATAGATTATCATATCACCATACTGTAGGGGCGTCTTTATCATTTGTTCACCCTTAGATTAAATTTGTTGACCTTTCCCTTAAGAATATCTAGTCGTATTTCCCACGACTAAAAAAAAATCTATACATTATTTATAATCGTTTTGTTTCAAATAAATATAGTTGCATTATTCTTTATTATGTTTACTAAAGAATCTAAAAAAATTAGGTTAAATTCGCCACTATCAAACTGTTTATAATAGTATATTATACGTGCATCACGAATCACGGCCTTTAAGTATTTTATTTGTCATACCTATTATTATATTTGATTGGTGACATGCCGAGAGAGAGGTTTAAATCACCTCCTCCATTGACTTGAAATTACAACGCTATATGAGTATTTATTTAGGAATTTTTATGTAGAAATACACAAATTACAGCCAAGTGACAACGAAAATCTTTATTTAAGTATTAATTAAAATTTGGTTTTTGAATATGACTTTAAATTTGCGTAGTCAAAATGGATAGAGAAGAAGGTTCTTCGTTTTCTTATTCATGATTATTATTTGCTACATAATTTCCTTCCGTGATAATTCCCGGGCATACCACAATTGCCACTGTATTTAACCGCTATAAAGTACAAATATTACACAGATTTCAAATAACTCGTCTACATTTTCTAGAGATTCAAATATATAAGTAGTAATATAATATATTAGTAATATATAGTAGTATAGTCGTCGACTGACACGATGTTTTCTAATATTTTACTTCACCAAACGTTTCGATACTTCGATAATATCCGTAATATTATATATACGCGTATACATATGACGATAATATATAGTACTTATACTTATCCTTTTATATAATTTGCTGCTCCCCGTTCTGGGACTATTTCCTCGGACGTTTTTATGACACCGTGCACCGTCCATTCATCTGCGGTGGTGTCGGGATCTTCCCCTGGGTCTTGTTTAATCCATCGTTCCTGCAAATGCCATTGGATGTATACGGTTTTCACGTGTCCACTCGCATAATAATGTAATACATCTGCAGCAGTAATAAGATCTCATATACGTATATACATATTATACAATTTATTAAAATATTTCGTTCTTTTGCTCTTTTATCGGATACCCTCACATCGTATATACGTATACACGTAACGGTGATAAACGTAATGTAAAACACTCATAATCTCGGATAGTATTTAGTTTTTTCGGAATTTGTTTTTTAGAACATTTGGGAAGCAAGTAGCTCTAAAATGTTGCATTACTATTTTTTCGAGTCGCCCCTCATTTTAAGAGGTAAAACCCCTACGTACTTTTGATTTTCAAATGTAAACCTATATTAAAAGTCCATAAATAAATGGAGTATTTGTTTAAATCAATTTAAGTGTTGACATTTTTAATTTCCGTCAAACCGTTGACGAGATATTCCATTTTTAAGTTTCGGCGGAAGAAGAGTACAGTGGTACATCATTTGTCAACGGGTTGACGGAAATCAGAAATTTTATCACAAAAATGTATTTAAACTTAAAACTAATATTCCATTCATGTATGGACTTTTATAGGTTGTCATTTGAAAATCAAAAGTAGATAGTGGTTTGAAATAAGGGCGACGGAAAATAACCGTAATATAACATTTTGGAGCTATTCATATTTTCGTATAAATGATCTAAACAAACAAATTCCGAAAAAAGTTAATACGTTTCGAAATAATGAGTGTCTCACGTTATGTTATCACTCTGTATGATTGTAACTTAAAAACGCCAATCGAGTAAAAAGAGCTTGCGGAATTTTTCTGTACATCTAAAATGTTATACTGGCTACGAGAACTATTTATAATGCACACAATCTAATTGGATATAGTGAGCAAAATTAACTGATCATAAGTTTAGTAAATATATTAATGGTTTAAAATGTACAATACATCATAAGTCACAAACGCACAAAATTAAACAAAATAAGCGGTGCGCTGATAACCAAATTTTATAAATGGAACTTAGGTTTAATTTTCAACTACCAATTATTACGTTACACAATATCACATGTCTTTTGGTAATTCACAAGAAGCTTAAACATACAATGATTTTCGAAAAAAAAAAAAATGTGTATTAAAGACCTATAAATTTATTAATCGTATTTATCTTTTTAACATATCCGTACCTATTTAAATAACGGAACAGACTTATTTAGAGATTTAACGTATTTAACCGATTATTTATAAAATGAAGAACTATGTTGTTTTTTAACTTACAGCATTAAAATTATGCTTAAAATCTTCTCCACGATGTATTCTTATCGTTTTAGAAATACTTCATGACGATTGGATGAGTGTTTCCAGAGTTTATTCGAGTACAAAATTCTTATTTTCATATTTTTATTTATAGACGGGTATTACAATTAATCGATATTAAAAGTCAAAATTATAATTTTTTTTGTTTTTAGGACTATATTTAATATAAATTTAACACTACTTTGATAAATTAATAATATTACTTTATCCGTAGTTTACCAATTTGTAAAACAAGTACTTTTGATTAATTTTAGAATCTAAAGACTTTTTAACAATGTACACATTTTTAAGTGAATAATAAATTGAATATATTTTCCTTCTATTTGTATGGATTCTTAGTGTACTAGCGATAAAAAGCTATTAGTTTTATTATGGTGTACTTTGTTTTCCTTGCAAAACATTTTTATGGTTATTAAAATTGTTCTGATTCATTCATACTGTGCTTAAAAAGATGCGGTTTTTATCGGTGGTACTTTTTATACATAAACAATTTGTTTCGATTCTTAGTAGTATTTCTAAAAACTGACAACAAACGCGGTATTTTAGTTTTATATTCGTTGATTTCTGGGTTACCTTAGCTTCAAGGAATAAAACGCCTACAACCTTAACAATTTACAGAGCACAGCTCAGAATCGTTTTTGATTGAAATTATTTATCGTTGCTTTTAGATTTAAATAAAATTATATTTTATCTTATACTTTCTCAACTTCCTACCTAAAACAACAGGCAGTAGCCTATCCATGGTGCGAAGTATGTTCAGTTTTTTTAAAAAATATTTACACGATATATTTGACGAAATATGCAACGTAATATATTATCGCATACAAATATGAAAAATAATTAAACTTTGTAATATAATGCGAGGAAAACTAATAGCAATCGTGAATTGGTCAATATAATAATACAATATGACTACACTATATACCGTACACATTATTTATTGTTTGATTGTTTTGTTTACCTATTTATAATGTTGATATACATAGTATTATATTATTAATTTGGACAAAGTTGAAATGTTTGTTTAATACTTACCCGCAATAGAAGATTTAAAATGAATAAGAACCACAAGTAACTCGTACCTATCTATATAAAATAGTATAAAATAATATTATATGTTAGAAATTCCGGGAAGGTATAAAATTTAGTCTAACAAATGTCTGCAGTATACTTTGCAGTGTATACGTATATTTACTATATAGGATAATAATTGTTTGTGTTTTTCTTTTCGGGGTCAATTGACGTAAATTCCGATCTGATAAACTTACAAAGTATGTTCAAATAAAAAGTTTTCCGTCGTGCGGAGTATTTACAGCTCAGTTGTTTATTGATTTAGTGACTATACTATAACACATAAGTTTCTTGTTGAACATTGCGAATAACGGTAGGTATTCGTCACACTCCGAGTAATATATAATAATATACTTAACGAATTTAACGAATGTGAATGTCTAATACTGCAGTAGCGTCATTTGGGGGGAGGGGGTAGGAAACTTTGGCATTCGCCACAGTCTATAGCTTACAACCTTGTGTCTTAAGTCATTATTTTTGTTTGGTTTCTGTCTTTTGCATCCGAGGGGAAAACTGTCAATATTGTTTTCTACATATTTTGCTTGTAAGCCCTCCTAAATCAATCCGTGGCCAAATTTTCTATTATCAAGATTGATGTTTACAAATGTTGAATTTTAAAATAAAATTTATAATTTAAATACCATGGAAAACGCCAAGAAAGTGTATTAAGTATAAATATGAAATACTCGTTATATCGAAGGGCGAATTTCGAGCGAAAAAAAAACAGTTTTTTTTTTTTAGAAGATAATTCCTTTCATCATTAATCGGAAAATTCAATCATGCGTTTGCTCCATCTGTTTACCAAATATTGGTAATAAACGACTAACGGAATACTGTCAAGTGTTTTGGTTTTATTGGTTATATTTTGTGCTTTTTTTTTTTTGTGTCTGTAAACAACTTTCTACCAGAAATCTCGCTTCAGTCAAAAACTTTATAGGAACTTTCTCGTAGCGCTTTGATAAATCTAATAAATGGCTAAAACTATAGCGATTGTTTGTATAATTTTTGTTTATTTCTTGGTTACCTTGGCAACAAGATAAAATATTGTTTAATGAGACAGAAATGTTCGAAAACTTAATTAGATATTCGCTATAAGACGTTGTACTAAAAAAAAAAAAAAAAATAGAAAGTTGTGCGTAATGTTTATATACGCGCTTTGACCGATCAGAATCGTTATTATTGTTAGCGACGGTTCGATACGAATTAAATTAAACTTTGTACGTATCCTATACCAATCCCGACTTCCCACCAGAAACAGTGGCTCACCCGTTTTCTTTATAATATGATATATTGGTATTATTACAAAACGTTGATGTATGCGTGAAAACTCTTACGGGATACGGGGGCGGGTGGAGCAGTGTACCTACGGTGTCACTTGTGTGTGACGGTCTGAAATATATTACCTTCGACAATAAAGTGGACGTTTTTATCGAACTCTGGGGGACGAGTGTATAATATATATATATATACATACACGTATGTACGTACTACGTATACGTATATAGTTTTGCGTCGTTTCCGCGGACAACAAAGTTTAAGGTAATTTGCATAAGTGTTGTGTATTGTGTATTATTAAAGGTCTCGGGGCAAAAGCAGAACTGTGCGCGTACATATGTATGTACTAGGGTGGTTTTTATTTGGTCGACGGTGGAATTTCTTTTTGGACGCTCCCTAACTTTGTTCTAAAAAACAAAATAAAAATGTCGAGCCCTATTTGAGCTTCCCGGGACAATTCTTTCGTTCTCCTGTAACGAGGTAAACTTTCCCATTTATCGGTTTTTTCGTTTATTCCGAATTTCGTTTTAGAAGGCATCAAAAATTGACGGTAAAACTTTTTTTATGTATAATTAACGGAAAGAAAATGCCATATAATTCTTGAAAAACTTTTTTTTTTCCCATATTAATAAGCAATTTCTTCTAGATAATTTCCACGCTAGAAAAACATTTTACCGTCAATTTTTGATGCCTCGTATAAACGAAATTCAGAATAAACGATAAAACCAATGTACTTTAAATAGAAAACATTACCTACCTGCAGGAGTACGAAAGAATTGCCATAGAAATCTCAAATAAAGCTCAAAATGTTTATTTTCTTTTTATAACAAAGTCAAGGGGCGTCCAAAAAGAAATTCCACCATCACCCAAACAAAAACCACCCTAATATATACGTATCTTATCGTATTACGTGTATAATATGTGTTCGTTTGCGAATATCGGTCATCGGACCGTCAAATAAAAGCGAAAACTCGTGTGTGCGAACCCGTCGAACGGCCGGCGTATTTATAAGCGCGTGTAGTACGGACGACTTTAAAAAAAAAAAAAGTTTTACTTGTGCGCGCGTGCACAAACAACCGCGAACGGAGTATCGTCGGACGACCGGGAAATTGTTAGTAAAAGCGATTCGCTTCGCGGCCAATAATAATATTACATCTCGGACGAAACGTTTATGATTTTATCGTATAAAAACATTGCGATATTGTGTTGCGTTTGTGCGGTAGCTTACACGAAAAGTATTGAAAATATTCGCCGCGCTTCGGAGACCGCGAAAAAGTTCGCGTCGTCGCACGCGTCGAAATGCAAAATCGTATAAGCGCAAAATCTAAAAGAAAATATTAATATAACAATGCGATCTAGGGTCACTCCGGTTTATTCGCGCCGAAGTGCCGAAACACGCATAGAAATAACAGTGTATCGAGTTACACTCGAATATCGTGTACCGTCCATATTATCATTAACGGCTCAACGACACGTGCAACTGTTGTCGGATAATCCGATAATAGTATCGATACGTTTGATCGGCTAGGAAAAAAAAAAAATAAATAAATAAAATTTCCCCAGCCACGCGGTAAACCGTCTTCAAAAGATAAAAACGTCTTCTTATTTGTACTGTATTTACGGTGTATGCGTACATGTGACCGCGCGCTTAAACGCTCTCGCTTTCATTCATAGTTTTTCCCCCTTTTTACGATATAGTAATCCTTAAATCTTACCCTGCATTATATACTGTATCGTTAATCGCAGCCGACTTAACGGCTGTTTTTCCCGTGAGCTCTATATAAACCGTATATACGGACCGTAATCTTAACCTAGTTTCCGGTAAAACGCTACCCTATCGCGGTAATACGACGATATTATATATAGGCGTGCTTATATATATATACGTTTTAAACGTTTCGTCGACGAATACCGCGGGGGCAGGGAAGTCTCGAGTGACTTTCAATTATCCGCGGTCGACGAGAAAAAAGAAAAAAAAAAAAAAAAGAAAGAAAAACATCCGCGAGGATACCGCGTACGGCGGTACTTAAAAAATAATAATATTTTACCGCGCGGGGGGGGGGAGGAGGAGGGAGAACGGGAGAGGAGAAAAACCGATGACCGTATAGACGCGCGCGTACGTATGGAAATCGTTGAAATCGGTGGCGGCGGAGGTTCGGCGGCTGCTGCACGCGGTGGTCGTTCGGCGAGGTAAAGGGTTGCGACTCGGTTTTCGGAGAAAAGCTCTCTCGGACTACGTGACGTAGTGACCGCCGTCGCCGCCACCACCGCCGCCGCCGCCCTCATCGCCGCCGCGCCACTTCACGCCGTCCGCCGCCGCCCCCGAAACCCCAAGGCGGGACGGGCGCGCAAGCAAGCCAAAGCGTATACATATATATATATATACAAGTATGTATATAATATGTATGCGTGTGTGTGTGTGTATATATATATATATATATATATATATATATATATATATATATATGTACAAAAGTCGCGGCGAGGGGAGAAGTAAGCATCGGACCGGAATGGCGGAGAGGGCGCCGGTCGGGGGGCTGGCCAGTATCCACCGCCCCGCCATACCAGCGCACACACGCTATATACATATATATATATATATATATATATATATATACACACACACACACACACATATATTATATATA